CCCTGTACTACCGCAGGACAAAGCTCGGGACCCGAGTCGCCACAGTGTTCAGCACGTGTCAGTGGCACACAGCCATCCCATCTCCCTCCAGAGGGCACATCGCCCACCGATACCAAGCAGCCAGGGGACGCACACCTGGCTGCCCGGGCGCCCTCGGCCCAAGCCGGTGCCTGCTGCCAGTGCCAGCTTCTCCACTCACAACCCAGCCTGGGAGGCAGGTGGTGACGGTCGGGTGCTTGGGCCCCTGTCACCCACGTGGAAGACACAGATGGAGGGCCAGGCGCCCGACTTTACAAGCATCTGGGGAATGAACCAGCAGGTGGAAGCTCTGTGTGTGTGTGTGTGTGTGTGTGTGTTTCAAATAAAAATATATACAAACTACGATGACGAACGATCCCTGCTCACAGGGCCCGGCGGGCAGACTCCCCGCACTCTCCAGCAAGCGCACCCCCGCCCGTTCACTCACGACAGGCCCAGCCTGCTGTCCGCTCACTCGGAGGCTGGCCAGGCTTGGACGCGGCCCCTCTCGCCACTTGCTGCCTGGTCCGGAGACCAGAGCACAGCCACTCCCCTGACAGAAAATGCCTTCCGAAGGTTGTTTTGTTTTGTTTTGTTTTGTTTTGTTTTGTTTTGTTTTTGACAGGCAGAGTAGACAGGGAGAGAGACAGAGAGAAAGGTCTTCCTTTGCCGTTGGTTCACCCTCCAATGGCCGCCGCGGCCGGCGTGCTGTGGCTGGCACACTGCGCTGATCCGAAGCCAGGAGCCAGGTACTTCTCCTGGTCTCCCATGGGGTGCAGGGCCCAAGCACCTGGGCCATCCTCCACTGCACTCCCTGGCCACAGCAGAGAGCTGGCCTGGAAGAGGGGCAACCGGGACAGAATCCGGTGCCCCGACCGGGACTAGAACCCGGGGTGCCGGCGCCGCAAGGGGGAGGATTAGCCTAGTGAGCCGCGGCGCCGGCCCCGAATGTTTCTTAGGTGAAGCCAAGGGTGCGAGCAGGCCTCGAGAGCCCCGCTGAGCCAGTGTGTTCATTTCCCTCCGCAGGTCTGCGCAGCGTCACGGACTCAGCGCTGCACACGTCGCGTCTGCCTGGCGGCACGGCGGCCCCAGTTACCTTGACTTCTGCTCACTTCTCTTGGCTGTCTTCTCCACTGACTCCATCTGTGACCCCTAAAGAGAAATATTCGTCAGAAACGGCCTCCACTTCCCAGATCCGAGTCCTTTCATCAGCAGCACCCTGAGAGAGAGGGAAGGCGAGGGTGAACTCTCAGGCACACACCCGAGGTGCCCCGAGCCACTGCTCCTGGCCTTGCGCAACCGCGGCGCAGGTGCCCAGGACGGGAGGAAGCCGGCACGGGCAGCGGGGGTGGTGAAGGGGCTGACGGGGCCCCCGCGGCGGCCTCCACCTGACAGTGTCCTCTAGGACATTAGCTTCCGACAGCTAAGAACGCAGCGACTCCACGGGAGGAGGAAAACGGCGAGTGACAAAACAAAGCCAAGCCAGGCTGTGGTTCTCAGAGGCGGTTCTGGGCTGGCAGCGCTGCGGGGCAGCCAGCATCCCACACAGGAGGAGCCAGTTCGAGTCCCGGCTGCCCCGTTTTCCTCCTGCTCCCTACTAATGTGCCTGCGAAGGCAGCAGCAGGTGGCCCGGGTACTTGGGCCCCTGCCGCTCATCGGGGAGGCTCTGATGGCGTTCTGGGGTCTCGTGGCCATTTGGGGAGTGAGCCAGTGGATGGAAAACCCCTCCCCCCTCCTTCCATCACTCTGCCTTTAAAACAAGTCTTAAACAAACAAACAAACCAAGGCAGAAAACCCTCCTGAAGGTGCCCCTGACCCCTGCGAAGGTGAAGACAGGGAGGCTCACAGCCAGCCGCACCTGCCCGGGGAACGGCTGGCAGGACTCCGCCCACCGCCAGGGTCACTGCCGTCAGTGTCCTCCAAAGTCAAGCAGGTTTTATTTTTTACCCTACTAGGCATTTCCTAAGGAAAGCCACAAACACTGCGGTTCTCCACTCTGTAACACCTCCATGATATAAGCAGCCCAGGACGCGGGCTGGCCCAGAGGCTCAATGACTCAGCTCACGGGCCCCAGGCCTGCGTTCAACAGCCCAGGTCCCGACCTGTCTGTGAGGCTGCCCCAGACAGAGCTCCGGGAGCCAACTCCTGTTCTCCCCTGTTAGAAGTCAGCCCGAGACGCTCATCAGCTGACTAATCAGACTGCCCCCCCCCCACTGTCCTGCCCGAATAATCCACATCCTTCCTCAGAATATTTCTAAACAGACACAGGTCAACCAGGGAGGTGAGGAGCCACGTGTCCTCGATGCTACCTACCATGGTAAAGAAGCTAAAAAACCTACCTCCAGTTCTTTCAGTTACCTTTCAACTGCTTTTGATTCGCCACATACTCATGATTCAAGTTATAGGTTTGAAGTCTAAATAGTGCATTTACACATCTACCAAAAAGTATCAACCAATTAGGCTTTAGTCGGCTGTTCTGAACTCCAAAACTAAGTGATTTCCAAGTTTCCAAGAGAACAAGCCCTCACCACGCTCGGCACTTACGTAACAGATGGGAGCTTTGCTTCTGGTGTCCTGCTGCTGCCAGCAGGGCTGCACACCTCAGCCTCAGGCACCCCCACAGCCTCATCTCAACAGGCAGCTGGGCCGCGACACCAAGGCCGACGCCAGCTCAGGGTCCAAGCAGCCGCCAGGGAAGCAGCAGGCACACGCGGCAGCGACCAGCCGCACAGCTGCCCGTACTTAGTCATTCACAGCTCACTGCAACACTGCGCCCAAAGACATTACCTCACTTCCTGCTTCCCAGCAGAGTTAGCAGCAGAGCCAAATCTCCCCGTTTCCAGCCCAGGTCCTCCAGGCAGAGACTTCTACCCAAGCAGCACCCCGAGTTCCCGCGGGACGGCAGCACCCGGCACCCCGCTCGCTCCCGCTCGCCGCCTTCCCGAGCCCCTCCTCAGAGGCCTTTCAGATGCCGCGTCTCTGGTTCCCTTGGTAACCGTATCGTCAGCAGTTTGCAGGCCCAAAGCCAAGACATCTTAGCAACCTGGTTTTCTGTTTTGTTCTGTGTTTCCCAAGACCAATCAGCATTTCCTGAAAGCAGCTGGGCTGCAGTGCAGTCTCACGAGCAGCTCCTGTGTTCTTATCCAACGCCAAAAAAAGACCTTTTCTGCTTATACCTTGAAATTCCAAGTACTTCATGAGTGAGCTGGCCACAAAGGGCTGGAGGCTGCTGTACCGCTGCAGTCCCCGCGTCCAGTACTGAATGAACGGTCAAACTGTGTCCAGTGCTGGAACTATTAATAAGCTGTTATCTCCAACCAGCAAAGCCAAGCCCCACCCAACCGCACTGTCACCCATGAATACCCCCCATCACAGTCACCCGCACCCCCACACCAAGGCTGAAAACAGTCATGTGACTTCTTTGGCCACTTGGATGGGAATGAATGAGACGTAAGCCAAGTCTGAAAAGCACTCTGACAAGACGGCCTGTCCTCTGGAGCTGTCTGGCACGGCCAAGGCACACGCTAACACCTCAGCGCCATCCTCCCCAGGCAGCAAGGCTGCCTCGGGCCACTCAGCACCGGTCAGGCCGGATGACCACAAATGCACGAGGTGCCCCGCGAGACCAGCGGAAGAGCTGCCCAGCCAAGCCCCGGTCCCGGGCTCAGAACTGCCAAGACCAGAGTGCTAAGGACGGCGAGGGCACGGACAGCGAGAGGAGCCTGCAAAGCACTGAGGGCTAGGGACAGCGCTGGCCAAGAGCAGGGGTCATTTAAAGGGCCTAACGCAAACTTCAGTTCCTCACTGCTCTGGTGTGGCTGTGGCCTGCCCCCAGGGGCCACCTGTTGGAGGCCTGGCCCCAGTGTGGCGATGCCGGGGAAGTGGGAGGGCCTCGGGGGCTCTGCCCTCGGAAGGCATCAGGGTGGCTCTCAGGAAAGGGTCGTAAAGATTCGAGTGAAGAGTCTCTCGCTGTTTCAAGATGTGATCTCGGGGCCAGTGCTGTGGTGTGGCGAGTAAAGCCCATATGCATGCCGGTTCAAGTCCCGGATGCTCCTCTTCCCATCCAGCTCCCTGCTATGGCCTGGGAAAGCAGTAGAAGACGGCCCAAGTGCCTAGGCCCCTGCACCTGCATGGGAGACCAGGAGGTAGCTCCTGGCTTCGGATCGGCGCAGCTCCAGCCCTTCTGGCCGACTGGGGAGTGAACCAGCAGATGGAAGACCTCTCTCTCTCCCTCTCTCTCTCTCTCTCTGCCTCTCCTTCTCTCTCTGTGTAACTTTCAAATAAATAAATTAAAAAAAAAAAAAAAAGGTGTGATCTCTCCCCCTGGCACGAGCCCCACCATTCTGCCATTAGGCCCTCACTGGAGGCCGCATCGACAGACTTCCAGCCTCCAGAGTGTCAGCTACGTAAGCCTCAGCCCGCCTCAGACACCTCACTACAGCGTGCAGGCCTGACTCCGCTCTCCCGCTAGTCCAAGCTGCGCTTTCACGAACGCACATACCACTCACGGACGGTCAGCCTGCGGGGCACTCAAAGTGTCCTTTAAAAATACTCTGGAGTAGGCCGGCGCCGCGGCTCACTAGGCTAAGCCTCCGCCTTGCGGCGCCGGCACACCGGGTTCTAGTCCCGGTTGGGGCGCAGGATTCTGTCCCGGTTGCCCCTCTTCCAGGCCAGCTCTCTGCTGTGGCCAGGGAGTGCAGTGGAGGATGGCCCAAGTGCTTGGGCCCTGCACCCCATGGGAGACCAGGAGAAGCACCTGGCTCCTGGCTTCGGATCAGTGCGGTGCGCCGGCCACAGCGGCCATTGGAGGGTGAACCAACAGTAAAGAAAGACCTTTCTCTCTGTCTCTCTCTCTCACTGTCCACTCTGCCTGTCAAAAATAAATACTCTGGAGTGAAGCGGCACAGGGCTCTCTCTGAGCAAGCTAAAAGGCGGGGAGGGTGGGGGTCTGGCACAGGGGTAAGACCTCTTGGGACACCCACCTCCACGTCCGAGTTGGAGTCTCAGCTCTGCTCCAGCTTCCAGCTTCCTGCTAATGCTTGCCCAGGAGCCACACGCACTGCTCAAGCAGCTGGCCCCTGCTACCGCACACTGGGCTCCCGGATCCTGCCTCTGGCTTGGCCCAGTCCCAGTTCTCGGGGGCATTTGGGAAAAGAACCTGTGGAGGGGCATCTCTGTCTGTCTCTCAGCTTCTCAACATACAAATTCTGTTTAAAGCAGAGCGATGAGAGCTTGCAAGCTGCACGCAGGGCCACACAGAACAGGGGCTCTTACCTGGCAGGAGGGATACGTGCTACCCCAAATACTGACTGCAGTCAGTGCCCAGTGCCGGAACATGAGCCCAGCTCAGGAGACTGACGAGGTCCTGAGACACGATGGCTGACGGCGAAGCCCTGAGGACAAAGCCTGGCAACACGGCAGCCTGCTCCATCCCCGCACGCGGCGCCACCAAGAAAGGAAAGCGGGAAAATGCGAATGTAAACCTGCAACATCCTGACCAGCTACAGCAAGGAGGAGCCACAGCGGGCCCGGCCCGGCCTCAGCTCCCTGCGGACAAGTGCCACGGCCGTGAAGATCATCTGTCCCAGCACTTGGATCTGATTCCCCAACTCCCACGTGGACCCTAGGGGCCGGGACGCATGGAGGCGGAAACTCCTGGGCAGCAGGAGTGAGTTTTCCGGAGCAGCTGGCAGTCGTGTTGCTGACACAAATGAGTCACTGGGGTCAGGGCGCTTCCGGGGCGTTAAGTTAGCACGACAGGTCCCACGGCTCAAAGGCAGGGCTTAGCCCTGGAAACGCCACTCTGCTCAGGGCAACGCTGGAACGGGTGTGGCGGGATCTGAAGCCAAGGACACACCTGCACCTCCCAAGCCAGGAGACCTCTCCAAGGCTCCGTTCTGGGGCCTGCACTGTGGCACAGTGGGATGAGCTGCCGCTCGCGACGCCAGCATCCCGTGTCAGAGTGCTGGTTCATGCCCTGCTTACAACACGTCCAAGGCCACTTCCTGCCAATACCTTTGGGAAGATGGCAGAGGACGGCCAAGTCCTTGGGCCCTGGCCACCCATGTGGGAAACCGGATGGAGTTCCGGGCTGAGCCAGAAGATGGAAGATCTCTGCCTTTTAAATAAACAAACCTTTTAAAAATTGAACAAACCTCCACTTCTCAATCTGTCAAATGGGTTAAACAAACCTCCACTTCTCAATCTGTCAAATGGGATCCCACCACACATGACCTCCTGGGCTGCTGCAAGGACCTCGGCAGTGGCAGGCCTCAGTGCAGCACCACCTTCCACGGAAGTGCCCCAACCACACAGCAATCCCAGCAGAGCCGGCAAACTTCAACCTTTCCCAGTGCCAAGGGCTGCACTCCCTGGAGACCACATGGCTCGGAGGCAGGACAGGCAGGGAAGGCGGATCTGGCTCATGTGACTATGGAGGCGGCCAGGAAGCCCCACGACAGGCCACCTTCGGAGGCCGGGAGAAGCAGGGAAGCGGAATGTGCCAATCGCAGCTCTAGGCCCCACGCCCGAGTGCCAGCAAGGGGGCGAGCAGGAGCAGCGTCCCGGGGTCCAGTGGCCAGCAATCGACGTCCCAGGCAGGAGGCGAGCAAGACCAGAGCACCTTCCCAGGCAGCCTCTCCAGAACCTGAGCCAACTGACGGCGCCCACCTGCCCTGGGGCTGGGTCTTCCCACCGCTCCACCCACACTCACCTGCTAACCTCACTGGGAAAACCCTCACAAACAAACCCACGGGTGCCTTTCCAGGTTTCTAGGTTGTCCTTAACCCAAATCGACTAAAAACTAACCATCACAGGAATCTTTGGGATGAACGGTTTTCTTGGTTTACAGAGAATACAAAACCTCAATTCAGGGGCCAGCGCTGTGGCGCAGTGGGTTAACGCCCTGGCATGAAGCACCGGCATCCAATTTGAGTGCCGGTTTGAGACACGGCTGCTCCATTTCCCATCCAGCTCTCTGCTGTGGCCTGGGAAAGCAGAAGATGGCCCAAGTGCTTGGGCCCCTGCACCCATGTGGGAGACCCAGAAGAAGCTCCTGGCTTCTGGCTTCGGATCGGCACAGCTCTGACCGTTGCAGGCAATTGGGGAGTGAACCAGCAGATGGAAGACCTCTCTCTCTCTCTCTGTAACTCTTTCAAATAAATAAATAAATCTTAACAAAAAAAAAAAAAAAAAAAGCAAACTCACTTTAGGGGCCGGCATTGCAGTGCAGCATGTTAAGTGCCCCTTGCAACACCTGCACCCCAAATGCACCAGGCTGGAGTCCTGGCTGCTCTACTTCCAACCCAGCTCCCTGTTAATGCACTTGGGAAGGCAGTGAAAAGTGACCACCCAAGTGCTTGGACCCCTGCACCCATGTGGGAGTCCCAGATGGCAATCCAGGCTCCTGGCTTCAGCCTGGCCCAGCCCTAGCAGTTGTAGCCATTTGGGGAGTGAACCATCGGACAGAGAAGATCTAACTCTGCTTTTCAAATAAATTAAATAAATCCTAAAAAAAAAAAGAGGTTGGGGCTGGCACTGTGGCGTAATGGGTAAAGGCACTGCCTCCGATGCCGGCATCTCACATGGACACCAGTTCATGTCCCGGCTGCTCTACTTCCAGCTCTCTGCTAATGGCCTGGGGAAAGCAGAAGATGGCCCAAGCAGTTGGGCCCCTGACCTGGACAAAACTCCTGGCTCTGGCCTGGCCCGGCCCAGCCCACTGCAGCCATCTGGGGAGTGGTCAGTGGAAGGAAGGCCTCTGTAACTCTTTCGAAGAAATGAAAGACCTCTTAAAAACAAAAGGGGAGGGGGACTGCTATGGCGTAGCGGGTAAAGCCGCTGCCTACAGTGCCGGCATCTCATATGGGTGCTGCTTTGAGTCCCGGCTGCTCCTCTCGACCCAGCTCTCTGCTGTGGCCTGGGAGAGCAGCAGCAGATGCCCAGGTCCTCAGGCCTCTGCACACACATGGGAGACCCAGAAGAAGCTCCCAGCTTTGGGTCGGCCCAGCTCCGGCCACTGCGGCCATCTGGGGAGTGAACCGGCAGATGGAAGACCTTTCTCTCTCTCTGCCTCTCTGTAACTCTGCATTTCAAATAAATAAAATAAATTAAAACACACACACACTCAAAACATACACATACACACAAAAACTCCTCAGGGACAGCATTGTGGCATACCGGGTAAAGCCACCACCTGAGATGCCAGCGGCCCATATGGGTGCGTTTGAGTCCCGGCTGCTCTGCTTCCAGTCCAGCTCCCTGCTAACAGCCTGGGAAGGCAGTGGAGGATGGCCCAGGTGCTTGAGACCCTGCACCCACATGGGAGGCCTGGAAGAAGCTCCTGGCTCCGGCTTGGAGGAGCCCCAGCTGTTGTGGCCGTTTGGGGAGCAGGCCAGTGGAGGGAAGATTTTCTCATTCTCTAACTCTGCCTTTCAAATAAATAAAATAAATCTTAAAACAAAAACTCACTTAGAACACATGCTACTTAAGTAGCTAGTTCCTACTCAGCTGAAGTGAATTACAGCGCCTGTTTTGTAAAAATCAAAAAGCTTCCATTGGTTTCTTGAAACCAGTGCCTAGGCCGGCGCCGCGGCTCACTAGGCTAATCCCCCCGCCTGTGGCGCTGGCACCCCAGGTTCTAGTCCCGGTTGGGGCGCCGGATTCTGTCCCGGTTGCCCCTCTTCCAGGCCAGCTCTCTGCTGTGGCCCGGGAGTGCAGTGGAGGATGGCCCAGGTCCCTGCACCCCATGGGAGACCAGGAGAAGCACCTGGCTCCTGGCTTCGAATCAGCGTGGTGCGCCAGCCACAGAGGCCACTGGGGGATGAACCAACAGAAAAGGTTTCTCTCACTGTCCACTCTGCCTCTCAACAAACAAACAAACCAAAAAAAAAAAACACAAACCAGTGCCTTTAACAAGGTTGCTTGTATGCATTACCCAAAACAAGACAAAAACAAAACTCTCCACTAACAAGAAAGTCAGGAGTAGGCATTTAGCCTAGAGGTTAAGATGCCCAGGTCCCACTAGGAGTTCCTGGCTCAACTCCAGCTTCCTATTTTAATACATACCTGGGAGGCAGCAGTGATATTTCAAGTAATTGGGTTCCTGCCACCCACGGGAGAGACCCGAACTGAATTCCAGCTCCTGGCTTCAGCCGAGTCAGCCTCCGCCACTCGGGCATCTGGGGAGACACACGAGCAGAGGAGAGCATGCTCCCTCTGTCACTGTCTCTCAGATAAATAACATTTTCTAAAAAGTCAAAGGTCTCAAGGCCAGCATGTGGCAGAGCGGGTAAAGCTGTCACCTGGGATGTGAGCACCCCTTATGGGCACCTGTGTGAGTCTCAGCTGCTCCACCTCCGATCCAGCTCCCTAACGGCCTGGGAAAACACGGGAAGATGGCCAAGTGCTTGGGCCCTCCACCCTGTGTGGGAGACCTGGAAGAAGCTCCTGGCTCCTGGCTCCAGCCTGGCCCAGCCCCAGCTGTTGCGGCCATTTGGGGAGTGAACCAACAGATGACAGACCTCTCTCTCCCCACCACTGCCTTTCAAATAAAAAGTCAATCAATCTTTAAAAAAACAAAAGAAAAGACTATCAGTGCTCCGGTAAATACTGAGGAAAGAGAGTATCCTTGTCTTGTTCCTAACCTCGGATTGAAGTTTTAAGATTTCCATTGATAATTAAAAAAAAAAAAAAAAGTGTATCTGGTATCACCTTTAGGATCCTCCCAGGTTTAAAATCCCACAATGTCAACTTTCACTGGCAGTTGTTTTCTGGAACAACTCTTTTGTGTCTCTCACGTGTCTCCTCGAGGGTCGGTGAATTCTGGTGGTTCCATATGCCCTGGGCCTCAGTGCTGCCATATTTATCATCAAGTAACACACCTACTCACTGAAGCGAGGTGTCACATCTCCTGGCAAACTATGAAACAGTGAATACTTTACTGCACGGCGAGGTTCCCAGTAAAAACATCAGGTATATTTGTTTGCCTTTCCCAGCTGCACCGATAGGAGAAATGGCACAAGACCATGTCCACCATGGTGGCCTCTTGGGCCTCGGCCGGTGGAGGTGGTAACAGCAGCCGCTTCATGGGGTTTTCCAGAAAGCAAATGAGACCATGCCTGTGAAGCGCTTGGCATGTTACCTTGAATCAAATATGGGCTCTAAAAATGGCCCATATTACACTGAGACTTTTACCTTTTAAGATTTAATTACTTTGAAAGTCAAAGTTAGAGAAAGGGAGAGAAAGAGAACTCCTCCATCTACTGGTTTACTACCCAGATGGCCACAATGGCCAGGCTGAAGTCAGGAGCCAGGAGCTCCACCCAGCTCTCCCGTGTGGGTGACAGGGGCCCAAACACCTGGCCCACCCTCCACTGCTTCCCCAGGAACTGGGCTGGGAGTGGAGCAGCTGGGACTTGAACTGGTGCCCTTGTGAGATGCCAGTGTTGCAGGCACAGCGAGGAAAGGGCAGGCCACACATGCGTCCCTGGCTCAGGACCCACACTCCTCCGACTGGTCCACTGTGACCCTGAACCTCGCCTAAGGCACCCTTTTCTTGTTCACCAAATCTTCACAAACAGCAGGCTGCACTGTTTCACCTGCTCTCCCCATGCAGACACCCACGCACCGCCCAGATCCACTGAGGGAAACAGACACCAGTAGGGAGACACAGAGCAAGAGGCAGCAGGCACCGCACGACCGTTCTCGCTGGGACACAAGCCACAGCTCAGGGGACGCAGCCTCTGCGGGCTCCCTGGGAAGAAGCAGGGGACAGCAGAGAGAGCGCAGCCCCGAAAGGTGCTGGCTGCACTAAGACCTGGCAAAGTTACTCCTTCCAGCCCACTTCCTTCATCTACAACAAAAGGGAACCCCTCGGACTTCCAGGGCGGCTGCAGGCATGAAGCAGATGCCCTGAAAGGACTAAGCTTAGAGCAGTGTGCCCCACAGGACATCAAATCCGAGTGCAACGCACACTCCCCAGGCACACCACAGCGATTCCAAGTGCTAGTGGGCGGCCACTGTCCTGGGTGGGGCAGGCACAGAGCCCGGCCGAGCCACACCGGCGGCCTGTCTCAGCACGCTCAGTCTGCACTCTAAGCCACCTGCCTCCAGGGTCTGCACAGCGACACCTCGACCACAGCTCAGCTCCCTTCCTTCCAGTCCCTTCAAGACCAGCCACGAGCCTGGCCCACCTGAGGGCCCGGCCATCTCGCCCAGTGTGTGTGGCGTGAGCACCTGTATGTGCGTGTGTGTGGCGTGAGCACCCGTGTGTGTGCATGTGTGTGGCATGAGCACCTGTGTGTGTGTGCAGTGTGGCATGAGCACCTGTATGTGCGTGTGTGTGGCGTGAGCAGCCGTGTGTGTGTGTGTGTGGCGTGAGCACCCGTGTGTGTGCATGTGTGTGGCGTGAGCACCCGTGTGTGTGCATGTGTGTGGCGTAAGCACCTGTATGTGTGTGTGTGTGGCATGAGCAGCCGTGTGTGTATGTGGTGTGAGCAGCCATGTGTGCAGCATGAGCACCTGTGTGTGGCTGAGTACCTGCATGTGTAGTGTGAGCACCTGTATGTGCATGTGTGTGGCATGAGCACCTGTGTGTGTGGCATGAGCAGCCGTGTGTGTGTGGTGTGAGCACCCGTGTCTGCAGCATGAGCACCTGTGTGTGGCGTGAGCACCTGTATGTGCGTGTGTGCGGCATGAGCACATGTGTGTGTGTGGCATGAGCACCCGTGTGTGTGTGTGTGGTGTGAGCACCCGTGTGTGTGTGTGGCATAAGCACCTGTATGTGTGTGTGGCGTGAGCACCGTGTAGTGTGAGCACCTGTATGTGCATGTGTGTGTAGCGTGAGCACCTGTATGTATATGTGTGTAGCGTGAGCACCCGTGTGTGTAGTGTGAGCACCTGTATGTGCGTGTGTGTGTAATGTGAGCACCCGTGTGTGTGTGTGTGGCGCGAGCACCTGTATGTGTATGTGTGTGGCGTGAGCACCGTGTAGTATGAGCACCTGTATGTGCGTGTGTGTGTGTGGCGTGAGCACCTGTATGTGCATGTATGTGCGTGTGTGTGGCGTGAGCACCCGTGTGTGTGTGGCGTAAGCACCTGTATGTGTATGTGTGTGGCGTGAGCACCCGTGTGTGCAGCATGAGCACCCGTGTGTGGTGTGAGCACCCGTGTGTGTGGTGTGAGCACCTGTGTGTGGCGTGAGCACCTGTATGTGCGTGTGTGCGTGTGTGTGGCGTGAGCACCTGTATGTGCGTGTGTGTGTGTGGCGTGAGCACCCGTGTGCATGTGTGTGGCGTGAGCACCCGTGTGTGTGTGTGGCGTGAGCACCCGTGTGTGTGTGTGTGGCGTGAGCACCCGTGTGTGTGCATGTGTGTGGCGTGAGCACCCGTGTGTGTGTGTGTGTGTGTGTGTGTGGCGTGAGCACCCGTGTGGGTATCAGGTTCACGGGACACAGATGCTATCGCCCCGCTGAGGCTTCAAGGTGACCACACGCCCTCTGGGTTAAAGGACAGACGCTCCCCTTAGGAGGGAGACCTCGTAAGGGGACCCTTCCAAGTCGTCCCCAGGCCAGACAGGAAGGAGGCGGGCCTGGGCCTGGGCCTGGGAAGCTTAGCCAAGTCCCAGGGGGCCCAGTTCCCAGGGACACCGCCTCGTTCTGGGTCAGCCCCATCTCCCAGGAGCTCTTACTTCCTGCCAGTGAGTCTGTATCCCCACGGCCGACACCGGCCTCCAGCCGCTGCCGCCCCCCACCCCGACTCCCAGCATGGGCCTCCCACTGCCTGCCGCCCCCCCACCCCGACCCCAGCAAGGGCCTCCCGCCGCCTGCCGCCCCGACCCCCAGCACGGGCCTCCAGCCGCTGCCGCCCCCCACCCCCAACCCCAGCACAAGGCTCCCACCGGCTGCCGCCCCGACCCCGACCCCCAGCACGGGCCTCCCGCCGCCCCCCACCCCGACCCCAGCACGGGCCTCCCACCGTTGCCACCCCCCACCCCGACCCCCAGCACGGGCCTCCCGCCGCCTGCCGCCCCCCACCCCCAACCCCAGCACGAGGCTCCCACCGGCTGCCGCCCCCAACCCCAGCACGGGCCTCCCGCCGCCTGCCGCCCCGACCCCAGCACAGGCCTCCCGCCGCCTGCCGCCCCCCACCCCGACCCCCCAGCACGGGCCTCCCACCGCTGCCACCCCCCACCCCGACCCCCAGCACGGGCCTCCCGCCGCCTGCCGCCCCCCACCCCCGACCCCCAGCACGGGCCTCCTGCCGCCCCCAACCCCAGCACGGGCCTCCCCGCGGCTGCCGCCCCGACCCAGCGGCCCCCCGGCTTCAGCCCAGACTGGGCTCTGGGCCCGGCGGTCACCTGGCTGCTGCCCACCGCCCTCCTGCGACCCGGGGCAGGGCACAGCCGCACATGCCCCGCTCGTGAAGGGGCCAACTCACCCCAGCCGTCCCCCAGACGCGGTGTGGCCGGGACAGCAGCTCCCGTCCCCGTCCCGAGCCCGCGCCAGGCCACCGCACGGACCCTAAGCCACCTGCCCCGCGCTTCGCAAGCATTCAAGACAGACAGCGTGGGTTCCGTGGGTGAACAGGATGAAGACGGGCGACAACGCAAGCCCCCCGGCCGCCCTAACCGGGGTCGAGGCCGCCCCGGCCCCAACACCGCGGTCCACGCAGACGCGCAGGCGGCCGCCCGGTCAGCCAGCGGCCGTTGGGCCACCTGTCGCACGCTGCTCCCCCTTTCAAACTGCTGCGAAGCCCCCCAGGCCGCGGGGCTACGCCCACGGTGCCCCGAAGCGCCGGGGACCTCAAGCCGGGCTCGGAGGAGGGGCCCACCCGGGAGGGGCGCCCACGGGCCGGGGCTGGGGGCTGCCGGAAGGGTCCGCAGGCCTGTCAGGACCCACGGGCGCTCGGGGACCCCCAGAGGGCGAGCGGGCCTGAGGGGGTCTCGGGGCTGCGGCTCCAGGGGACGCTGAGGGGCTGAGGGGCTGAGGGGCCCGGGTCCCGGGGTCCCGAGGAGGCTCTGGGGCCGGGGGTCCGGGGTCCGGAGGAGGCTCTGGGGCCGGGGGGCCGGGGTCCCGAGGTGGCTCTGGGCCGGGGTCCCGGGGTCCCGCGGAGGCTCTGGGGCCGGGGGGCCGGGGTCCCGAGGAGGCTCCGGGGCCGGGGGGGCCGGGGTCCTGGAGAGGCTCTGGGGCCTGGGGGCCGGGGTCCCGGGGTGGCTCTGGGGCCGGGGGACCGGGGAGGCTCTGGGGCCGGGGGACCGGGGAGGCTCCGGGGCGGGGGTCCCGGGGTCCTGGGGTCCCGGGGAGGCTCTGGGGCCGGGGTCCCGGGGAGACTCTGGGGCCTGGGGACCGGGGAGGCTCTGGGGCCGGGGTCCCGGGGGGCCGGGGTCCTGGGGAGGCTCTGGGACCGGGGAGGCTCTGGGGCCGGGGTCCCGGGGTCCTGGGGTCCTGGGGAGGCTCTGGGGCCTGGGGGCCGGGGTCCCGGGGTCCGGGGAGGCTCTGGGGCCGGGGTCCCGGGGAGGCTCTGGGGCCGGGGTCCCGGGGGGCCGGGGTCCCGAGCCGGCCCGCCCCGCGCCGCGCCTCACCTGCGGCGCCGCCAGGACGCTCGTCCGTCCGCGCGCGCTGCCCCCGCCTCCGCGGCCGCCGGCGTCTCCGGGGTCCCTCGCCCGCCGCGCGCTCCTCGCGCTGGCCCGGGCCGCCGAGGGCCGACTGCGCGCGCACCTGGGCGGGAGCCGCGCCGCCTCCAGCCGCGACTCCACGTTAGCCGGCCGCGCGCCGCCGCAAAGCCTTCCGCCGCGCGCCCGCCCCGGCCGCGCGAAAGTTCCGCCCCGAAACCAACCGTCCCGCGGCGGCCGGAGGCCCCGCCCCGAGGGGCGGAGCCAGGGAACCGTCGCTCGCGAGGTCCCGCCCCCGCGCAGGCGCAGAGAGGTGCGCGGCGGGCTCGGATCGGGCGTCGGCGTCCCGGGGTGTGTGTCGCCCGCTCCGGCGCCTGTGTCATGGGGGCGCGTGCACTGTGCGGGCCCGGCCCGGGATGCTCTCGGTTCCCAAACAGCTGGGCGGCAGGGCGTCCGTGTCCCGCTTGAGTGCGGTGTGTGCGGGAACCCAGAGGCCACACCCGGTGGTGCGTTTGGAAGGCGTGTGGGTGTCCGTCTACACTGCTGGGCATTGGTAAGCTGCGGTGCACCACGCGCTGGCCACGCGCTCCCAGCTCTCTGCTATGGCCGGGGAGAGCAGTGGAAGACGCCCCGCGTCCTCGGACCCCTGCACCGTCGTGTGAGACCCGGAAGACGCTCCTGGCCTCGGATCGGCCAGCCTTGACCACTGTGGCCATTTAGGGAGTGAACCAGCGGATGGAGACGTGTCTCTGCCTCTCTAACTCCGCCTTTCAAATAAATAAATGCGTCTTTTTAATAAAAGAAAGCCTCCGTGGCCCTCTCTGCCATCAGTTCTCTCCCTATCCCGGCCAGGCCCCTCACCGCAGGCCTGGAAGCTTGCAAGGGGCCGCCCTGGGCTCCCCTCCCTGGACCACGTCGCCCGCCTCCCCCACAGCCAGGGTGGGGCCGGCCGGGGGCGCCGTGCTGGGCTGAGGCCACGCAGGACCCTGGAGCTGCCAGGCGGCCAGGAGGCTGGCGGGAAATGAGGCGGTGGGAGGCGCAGACGTCCAGTGCCCCTCCGACCCAGCCTCGGCTATGCGAGGAACTCCCACGGTTCGGGAATAGAAGGGCCCGCTGTGGCTCGGGTGTCGGTGGGGTGTCCCCAGGGTGGTGCTGTTGGGGGGTGAGGTCTGGTGGGGGGAGCTACCCTGGAAGCAATGCGCACAAGATGGGGAGGGGGTCACAAAAGCCCGAGTAGGGACCCAGCCCCTCCCCCGACACACACACATGCACACGCGCACACATGCACACGCGCACACATGCACACACTCGGTGTCTGTTTGCTGGCGTCCCACGTGATCCTCCTGCCCAGGTGCCCTCCAGCAGAGCCCTGTCCTGCCGTTGGGACTTCAGGCCTGCAAGCCTGCGAGCTAAATAACCCTCTGTTTCCTGGGTAGCTTGGCTCAGGGACTCCATTCTAGTTACAAAAAAAAGCTAGGACAGCCAATTTCTTAAACTTGGGTAAAAGATTTGAACACAGGCGTCTCCAAGAAAGATGGATGGATGGCAGATGACGACCAGAAAAGACGCCCAGTGTTATTCTTTATTAAGGAGAAGCAAGTCTCAAACCACAGTCACCACTGCACACACTAGGAGAGGGACTCCAGGGGTCCGCAGCAGGGAAGAAAAACGAGAAATAATTATAAATAAATAAATACCAACCCACAAGGGGTAGCTCTCCAGGAGCCCTAAGGGGAGACAGGAACTGCAGGAAACACATACAGTCTGCTGAGGTTAAGTCTGCTCCCTGGACCTGATTAAGCAAAACAGCCTACTCCAATATCAGTTCCCTGATTGGCTCCTGCAGCATATCTCATTAGCATGCACTTTCAGTTCCTGATTGGTTGTTAGCCCTGCCTTCTGATTGGTTGCTCTCTCTACTTTCTGATTGGTTGTTATTCTGACCCTCCTCTGACTAAAGCTGTACTTCAGGGGATGCACCCTGTGGATCCCATATGGGTGCTGATTCTATGTCCCAGTTGCTCCTCCTACAATCTGGCTGCCTGGGAAAGCAGTGGAAGATGGCCAAGTCCTTGGGCCCCTGCGCCCTTGTGGGAGACCTGTAAGAAGCTCCTGGCTCCTGGCTCCTGGCTTTGGGCTGGCCCAGGTGTTGTGGCCATTCGGAGAATGAAACAGCGGATAGAAGACCTCTCTCTCTCTCTCCCTCCTGTCTCTCTCTTTCTCCCTCCTTCTCTCTCTCTGCCTCCTCTCCCTCTCTCTCTCCCTCTCTCTCTCTCCCTCCTCTCTCTCTCTCTCTCTCTCTGCCTCTGCCTTTCCCTCTCTGTAATTCCACCTTTCAAATAAATGAATCTTTGAAGGGAATCTCTATTTACTTTTCAGAAGGGGACAATCAGAGCCGCTTAGTGTACAAAAGAGCCAGCCCTTGCAAGCTTCTCGGGGCGACTCCTCCCCTGCAGCCCCCCCTCCAGACTGCTGCCGCAGGAAATTTATTGTTTTCATTACATCTCACTTTGCTCACTGTCCTGTCTCT